CAGAAAATTATTTATTTATTTATTTATTTATTTTTTGAGTTGTCACCCAGACTCGAGTGCAGTGGCCGCCCCCGGCCACCACAGCCTCGAGCCGCTGCGCTCCAGCGATCCTTCCGCCTCAGCCATTTGAGTAGCTGGAACTACAGGCGCGTGCTACCACGCCCGGCTGATTTTTGATTTATTGTAGAGATGAGGTCTCACCAAGTTGCCCAGGCAGGTCTCGAACCCGTGGGCTCAAGCAATCCACTCACCTCAGCCTACCAAAGGCGCGGGATTACAGGCTGAGCCATCGAGCTCAGCTAAATTTTTGATTTATTGTAGAGACGAGGTCTCACCATGTTGCCCGAGCTGGTCACGGACTTGCAGGCTCAGGCAATCCTCTGGCCTCCACCTCCCAAAGTGCTGAGATTATAGGTGTGAACCACTTGCTCCCCACTGACATCTTTAGATTTCAGAATCCAGGGAGCCAAATTTTGATTAGTGGTCCCATTACTACTACTAGTCCTGTGAGCACTGTTCATCTTGCTGAGATTTTTGTTGTTGGAGTCTCCCTCTGTCACCCAGGCTGGAGTGCAGTGGCATGCTCACAGCCCAGTCCTCTCACCTCGGCTTCTCAAAGTGCTGGGATTATAGGCATGAGCCACTGCGTCCGGCCTGAGATTTTATTTGATCTCAGTGGCCTGCAGAACATTTGTGCTAGAGCTGAGAGCCGTGCTGTCCAATACAGGAGCCACTTGCCACATGACTATTAAAATTGGGACCCTTTCGTCAGTCACACGAGCCTCCAACACACAGTAGCTCCAAGTGGCTAGCAGCTACCACACTGGACAGCACAGATACGGAATGTGCCCATCCCACAGAAAGTTCTGGGCGCTTAAAGTGCCTTGCAAATTTCTCAAAATCCCCAAGTGTCTTCTGGGCTGTGTCTCCTCCACATAATCCCGATCTCATGGAACCCTCTTCCCCAACCTTACTTTTTCTGGCACATGCTCATTTCTCCACATCCATACTTCTCAAGATGAAGGCAGTGTATTTGCTCAACACTTGCTAATAGTACCCACGCAGTGCCACGCAAAGGGAGACAAGACACACGCACTTTAAGTGTGAAGGCTGCCCCAGAGCCAGTGGAGTGCGGCAGGCCTGCCTTCACTCCATGCCTGGGGGTGCCTTCTCGCGTAGAACCAAACTGCCCCCCAGACAGCAAAGGACACCTACACCCGATGCAGATGCAGACAATTACCGAATGACTCTACTTGGGATCTGCAGTCCATCGAGGCCCAGTTTCCACCCAGTAGTTGCAGTTATTTCATCCAGTCAGACCTCCTTTCAGAAAACTGAGAGCTGTAACCACACGTGTTTCTTCAATGCTTTCTTTTTGAGTAAGTCTCACTGTTACCCAGGCTGGATTACAGTGGCATGCTCACGGCCACTGAACCCTCAACCCTCTGGGCTCAGGGGATCCTTCCAAGTAGCTGGACCACAGGCAAGTGCCACCACACCTGGCTTATTTAAGTTTTAAAACAAAGTTTATTAGAGAAAGAAGAGAGGAAAGAAAGGGAGACAATGTCAGTTGGCATGGGAGAGAAAACGCATCTGAGTTTTTGATTTATTATAGAGATGAGGTCTCACCAAGTTGTCTAGGATGGTCTTGAACCCCTTTGCTCAGGCAATACTCTTGCCTCTGCTTCCCAAAGTGTCTTCAATGGTTTTCACCACAACTATCAGTTTAGATCCTAATGACAATTGCTTTTTTTTTTTTTTTTTGAGTTGGAGTCTTACTCTGTCACCCAGACTGGAGTGCAGTGGCCGCTCCCGGCCACCGCAGCCTCAACCTGCTGGGCTCCGGCGATCCTTCTGCCTCAGCCTTCCAAGTAGCTGGAACTACAGGTGCGCGCTACCACGCCCGGCTAATTTTTGTTTTATCGTAGAGATGAGGTCTCGCCAAGTTGCCCAGGCGGGTCTTGAACCCACGGGCTCAGGCAATCCACTCACCTCAGCCTCCCAAAGGCACGGGATGACAGGCTGAGCCACCGAGCCCGGCTGATAAAGCAAATATTACAAATATTGTTACATCTAGGTGGTAAACACACAGGTTGATCAACGTACTAGTTTTTAAGCTTCTCTGTATGCATAAAATTTTTCGTAAGTTGAAAAAGATCTCAGACCACTGGCATATTCTGTGGGCTTCGTCATTTTCATAAATGAGCTTAAAATAGTAAAAGGTTCACTAAGAATGGCTTAGTGATGCTCAAGTCCTATCTAGTGATGCTACTTTTTAAGTCTCAAGTCTAATAGATTTTAATAAAATCAGAATGACAAGATGCTATGGTTTGAGTATGCTCCCCCCTCACCCTGATTCATACACTGGAACCTATCCAATGTGACAGTATTGAGGTGTGGGACCTTTATCAGGTGATTAAGAGTGGAGCCCTCGGCCGGGCTCGGTGGCTCAGCCTATAATCCTGAGCTTTGGGAGGCCGAGGTGAGTGAATTGCCTGAGCCTGAGGGTTCGAGACCCACCTGGGCAACTTGGCAAGACCTCATCTCTACAATAAATAAAAAATTAGCCAGGCATGGTAGCGCGCACCTGTAGTTCCAGCTACTCGGAAGGCTGAGGCGGAAGGATCGCCGGAGCCCAGCAGGTTGAGGCTGCGATGGCCGGGAGCGGCCACTGCACTCCAATCTGGGCGACTGAGTGAGACTCCAACTCAAAACAAACAAACAAACAAAAAAACAAATAAAAAGAGTGGAGCCCTCATGAATGGGATTAAAGTTCTTTTAAAATTTGCTTCGGGTCGCTGTCTGGTCCTTCTGTGCCTTCCACCACGAGGATACAGTGCTCTACCACTCTAGAGTATGCAGAAACAAGGAACCACGTAGGAAGGAGAGTGCAGCCCTCCCCAGACACTGAAACCTGCCATCACCTTGATTTTGGACTTTCCAGCCTCCAGAACTGTGAGAAATCTATTGTTTGTAAGTTTCCCCATCTAAGGCATCTTGTTACAGCAGCAGAAACAAATGACACAATTTTCAGAAAAGGCTCTCATGGTTAATTTAGTTCTGGTTGGAATGAGTTTGACAACACATCTTTCTGTTTTGTTTCAGTATGTCTGTGTCCCCAAATTCTCTTCTGCTTTTACAAACTTGGTACAGTGAGCTATTTACACAATGACTCACAGACGATTAAGGATTCTGCAAGGGCTCCTGCTGACTATTCTGAGCAGCAAGATGCTGTCCGTGACTGCACAGAACAATTCTGACTGCCCAGCAGAATGGCCGACCAGGCCAGCATCTGAAACACAGCATGAGGTTGCTTTGGCTTCAGTCATTTCCCAGAGTGAGTTGTTTCTTTCGATCTGCTTTTCGTTGGCCTCGACAGTGACCACTTCTCAGTGCCCAACTACGTGCCAGGTGCTTTGCATACCTTCCAGGCCACTCACAGAATTGCTGGCACCTGGTGGGAACACCAGTAAATATGGTGGCACTGCACTCTCGCCTGGATGGTAGCTTGGGGCTGCCTTCCAAGTCTACTCACTCCACTCCACTGCTTGGTGCCAACCAGCATACAGAAGTGTTTCTCTGAAAAAACTATCCAGCAGTGCTCATTCAGCAGTACATATATGTCAAAATTGGAATGCAGAGATCAGCACGGCCCCTGTGCAAGGTGACGCAAATTTGCTAAGCATCAAAAAAATAAATAAAACGACTCTGCCGACTTGAGAAGTAATGTCATTCTTCATGTCTAATACCAGTGCCAGTTGGCATGCCACCAGATTCCTGCACTAATATCAACAAAGCAAGCTGACTCATCATCTGTGTATACTTGCTCACCTGCCTGAGATGCTAATAACAGCAAACATTTACTAGGACACACAGTATGTCAGACACCTCTAGGCTCTTCATAATTTCCTCATTCAATCTTCTCAAAATACCCATGGGGCAGAGACTATTAGTATCCACGTTTTACAACCAAGAACACAAATGAGGTTCAACCTCAAAGAAGTCAAGTTGCCCATGAATAAAAAGATTATTTCCTCTCAACATGGGTCAAAAAAATATTATTCAGAAGCCACGTTACTCATAGAATTTATCAAAATAATAATTTTTTATTTTAGCCTTAGCCGGCAGCAAAATAAGACTTGACTTTTTTTTTTTTTTTTGAGTAGGAGTCACTCTATGTTGCCCATGCTGGAGTGCACTGACACGCTCACTGCAGCCTCGAGCTGCTGGGCCCAGGTGATTCTTCCTTCCGCCTGAACCTTCCAAGTAGCTGGAACCACAGGCATGCGCCATCATGCCCAGCTAATTTTTGGATTTATTGTAGAGACGAGGTCGCACTAAGTTGCCCAGGTTGGTCTCGAATCCCTGGGCTCAGGCAATCCTCTCACCTCAGCCTCCCAAAGTGCTGGGATTACAGGCATGAGCCACCACATCCGGCCTCACACCTGGCGAATTTAAACTGTCTTGACTTTTTCCTTCAATCACAAATTCATACACAGTCAGGTACCCCAAAGAAAAAACCCCAAATTGTGAAGAAACAGACATATTTCCCTTCAGAAAAAACCAAAGTTAGAATGGTTAGGTATTCAAGTGTTCCCCCACCTACTCTCAGGTTAATTACTTCAATGTGGTGGCTAAGGAAGAGCAGACGCCCTCCTTCCAAGCCACCCATCACAGAACACCTGCTGCTAAGTAGCAAGCCAGGGGTTTAGACCGGATACCCAGAGGAGACTCCAAAGTAACCTTCAAATCTGGCTGGCAAAGGAAAAGACTGAACCCAAGGGCGACGAAAGGAGAGCCCCAGGACTGCTCACTCCCAGTCAACACGCTCCAAGACAGCCAAGTAAAGGGCCACAACACTCCCGCAAGGCTGTCTCCCACAAGGCTACGGCCCCACAACACTCAGCACAGTCGACCCAGGTGAAACTCTTCCCACGGAGGGCGGCCTCCCAGATCCCCAGGTGTGATGCCAAGGCGCTCTCAGTCATTAACACTCACCATTTCTTTAAGAATTTCAAACAGTGACACCAGTTTAATCCTTTTGGCATCTAAGTAAGACTGTTCCTTCCCTATACCAGTTTACCAGGCTCTGGAAATCGAAATGCCAAAGAGCAAGAGCACAGAGGGTGTGGGGGCCGGCCACCATGAGATGAGGCAGTCAACAGCATAGCTTCTGCGTCCCCCACCTCACCCTTCCTGGAGGTGCTCAGGAAGGCACAGGCGGCCACTCCAGGATGGCTTTGTCATCTTGGTTTCACAGGCGCTGGAAACAGCAACCTAACCCAACACCATGTTGGGCTGGTCTCGCCAAAGAAACCCCAACTGTCTTCTGCAGTCAAATTTCTGGGAAAGTCAGCCCCAGACGCTGGGAAGGCAGTGCTGTGCAGGGGGTGTGGTTTCCTCAAGCATCAGAGTGATGTCTAGAGATTAATACTGGAAGCTGCGCTTTGTCTGGATGTCATCGAGAATCTGCTGCAGCTCCTCGTCTTCGAAGCGCCCCTCCAGGCTACAAGAAGAAAACCGAAAGGAGTGGGCTTAGTGATTCAGCCACTTCGTGACTAGCAATTTCCTCACACTCTTCCTTGAGGCAAGCTCATCTCTCTCCCAGACATCCAACTCCTTTACGTCTCAACTGTTTTTCTGCTTTCCCTTATAGAAATACATGACTCTTTAAACATACAAAAGGCATAAAAACAGCCTTACCAGTTAGCTCTACGTGATTTAGATTTTTTGGATAAACATCACCATAACGGCTCTGTGTATGCTCCCCAGTCCAACATCTTCCCCTCCTCCAGAAGTAGCCACTACCCCAAATTTGGCATTTAATATTTCTATATATTGTTATACTATACAAATGAGTATCCAAAAGCAATACGCAGAACGGTTTTTAAACTTTATAAGAAAGGACATCATACTGTATATATCCTTCTGCAACTCCTTTTTTTTTTTTTTTGGAGTTGGAGTCTCATACTGTTGCCCAGACTGGAGTGCTGTGGCACGCTCCCAGCCACCACAGCCTGGACCTGATGGGCTCTGGTGATCCTTCCGCCTCAGCCTTCCAAGTAGCTGGAATTACAGGCGGGTGCTACCACGCCTGGCTAGTTTTTGATTTATTGTAGAGATGAGGTCTCGCCAAGTTGCCCAAGCGGGTCTCGAACCCGCGGGCTCAGGCAATCCACTTACCTCAGCCTCCCAAGTCGCAGGATTACAGGCTGAGCCACTGAGCCCGGCTGCAACTCCTTTCTTAACACTTATTTTGGCATGTATTGATGTTTCCATGTTGTTCTAATTCATTAATTTTTCACTACTGTCCAATAAACACGGTATGACCATAAAATAATTCATTCATCCATTCTCCTGTTCGCCTGCGAATTGTCAAATTTCTGCTATCATTAACAATGTAGCTGGCCAGGCTCAGTGGCTCAGCCTGTAATCCCAGCACTTTGGGAGGCCGAGGTGAGTGGACTGCCTAAGCCCGCAGGTTCGAGACCCGCCTGGGCAACTTGGCGAGACCTCATCTCTACAATAAAAATCAAAAAATTAGCCGGGCGTGGTAGTGCGCGCCTGTAGTTCCAGCTACTTGGAAGGCTGAGGCAGAAGGATCGCTGGAGCCCAGCAAGTCGAGGCTGCGCCACTGCACTCCAGTCTGGGCGACAGAGTAAGACTCCAACTCAAAAAAAAAAAAAAACAACGTAGCAACGAACACAAATACATGTCTCCTTGTAAACATGTGAGGTGCTTGTAAGACATGTACCCAGGATCAGGGGGTACATTCATTTTTACTAGACATAGCTAAATTGTTCTCCAAAATTACTGTACTAATTAGCAATCCTACCTACCATCACCCTATGAGAGGTCTAGCTGTTCTAATATTCTTGGTAGTACTCAGTATGGTACAAAACCACCATTCTCATACGCTGTTGAAAAGACATCCTCATTCAATGTTGGCAATTATCTATCCAAATTTTAAATACATACACCTTTTAGTGGCTTATTTTTGTGACTTGGGACCACACCCCATCACCCAGGCTGGAGCCCAGTGACACAATCATGGTTCAGGTGATCCTTTTACCTCAGCCACCCCAATAACTCTGACTATAGGTACACACTACCATGCCTGACTAATTTTTTTTTTTTTTTTGTAGAAACGAGGTCTCGCTGTGTTGCTTAGGCTGGTCTCAAAGTCCTGAGCTCAAGCAATCCTCCTGCCTCTGGCCACCCAAATTGCTGGGATTACAGGCATGAGCCACCCTGACTAACCTCATACACGGTTTGAATACAGCAATTCTATCTTTAGAAATTTATCCACTCCACATAGAATTTATCACAACTGGTACTAACCTTGGGATCAGAGCTTTGGACTCCTCAGCAGTCTCTGGGCAAAGGTTGGCCAAACAGGCCAACTCAAACTTATGAAGTTTTTTCTGGAGCAGCAGGCTGATCAGGGAGGAAAATTAAACAAACAAACCAAAAATCAAAGAATAATCAATAAGAAAAAGGGGATCAAATGTACCTAGCATTTCAAAATAGAGAGGCCTTGAAAAGTTCCCAACACACAGAAATGATAAATACTTGAGGTTATGGATACCCCAAATATTCTGACTTGGATCATTATCTATTCACATAACAAAATACCATGCGTATCCCTTATATATATACAAATATTATGTATCCATCAAAAAAAAAATTGCTAGTAAGGAAGAGAAAAAGCAGAGCATTTGCAATCGTTAGGGTTATACTGGCTGCAGAATCCTACATTCTAATCACTTTCTGCTCTCACCCCTAAAGAACAGGAAGCTGTAGCAAAAAGCAGACAGAAATCATGAAAATGAAGACAGCACACTAGGGCGAAGAAGCAGATGCCATCACAACCTGTGACAAACTACTACATTCTTAAAGGAGTATATGACCTTTCATCTAGGCATTTATTTTATTACTCTCTGCTCTTCCTTCTACTCTTCTTTGCTTCCTTTGCTGTTGTTTTTGAGCGACGGTCTTCTATCCCTCAGGCTGGAGTGCAGTGGGGTAATCGTAGCTCACTGCAGCCTTCGACTCCTGAGCTAGGCCTTCAGGCACGTGCCACCATGCCCACCCGATGTTTTAAAAATCCTCTTATATTTTGAAGAGACAGGGTCTCACTATGTTGCCCAGGCTGACCTTGAACTCCTGGTCCCAAGCAATCCTCCCAACTCAGCCTTCCAAGTGTCTGGAATTACAGGCGCATACCGCCAAGTCCAGCCCTTTGTTGTTAATTTATGTCACACACATGATGCTAGATGTCCCCAGTCTATTAGGGATTTTAAAGTGGAGGTCATTATATTTTAAGTTTATCTAAAAATAAAAAAACACAGCGTACCCTTTGTGTAAATTCATGTGTAAAGGGCATCGTGTATTTTAAATGTCCTAGAAATGTCCAAACTGCATAAAAGAACACTGTCACTACAAATACTAACTTGGAATCTTAAACATCTACTTCCTTTTTTTTTTTTGAGTTGGAGTCTTACTCTGTCGCCCAGACTGGAATGCAGTGGCCACTCCCAGCCACCGCAGCCTCGACCTGCTGGGCTCCAGCGATCCTTCCGCCTCAGCCTTCCAAGTAGCCAGAAC